AATTAACCTAACAACTGAATGACTTTTAACTGTGGGAAGAAACCAGTAGACCCAGAGAGAAGCCAGTGCAGATTTGAACCCAGGACCTGCTTACTGTGAAGGAACAGCACTAACCACCATGCCACCAGATTTAGCAAAAGTAGGAAAGCTATGATTTCAAGGCTTGATTCAGAATTTTTTGTGCATTTTTGTCCTTGACTGGTTAAACTGCAATAAATAGCAATAGTATACACATGATGTGTGTGTAGTTGTCTGCCTCTTAGAACTCCAGTGATTCTGCTGCAGTTTGACATCTCGTGCGATCTTGTGAATTTCATGAGTTCAGCAACTAACCACTCTTACTAGATTGTATCATGTCATCTTAACAAGAACAAATTAAGTTGTTGAATTTTGTACAAATCCTTCATGATTTAATTACGTTCATAGAAACATGAAATTATTGTGTTCAAATTACAAGGTAGACTTTTTTAATGTAACAACCACCCAATTTACTTTTTTTGGTATACCGAAAAAAAGTAGAGGTGGCTGCTCGACTTGACTGAGATGGATGCCTTCCTGAAACCACGATCCAAAGCACGTAAGACTGAAATCCCGTGCAGTGTCGCAGTAAGTCATTGACTTACTTCACTCGAACAGGACATGAACGATTTAATCTAGCCTCCCTGCATATCATGTAGTTTCTACACTATATAGTTACACTTAACTTTGAAGCATGATTTACGTAAGCATGATGCTTATGTAAATCCAAGAGCTGGCCAATCCCTTTTTTTCAGTGTGAGACAGACCTGTTAGTCAAATGGTTGTTTGCCAAAACTAATTAGAACTTTTGAGGTTTGTTATTTTTCAAATTCTATATTTATTACGTTATGTAGGTTTGTTTGCACAACAAGGCTAAATAATTATATAAACTTTTCTGAATCTGAATAGTGTACTTTCGTAGAATTAGAAAATAATATGGTACAAACTAGTAACTCATCATATTATCTATTGAAAAGGAATACTTGAATTAATTGAAAATGTCATTGACAGGTTCGCAAAACTCAAGCCTTGAAGATACAGTCTCATGTTACCACAATATAGAGGTGTTGTCATTGTAGTGCAGGTCTATAATGATTTTCAGTGCTACTATCATCTAGTTTTGATTCTGGTTCTATTTTGGTTAAGTCCTAAAGTAGTCCTGATTTTGAACTGTTGTAGCCCTGTTTTAATTCCTGATCTTTTCTGGGTCTGGTTGAATTGGGGTTTAGTCCTCGTGTCTTGATACAGCTCTAATTTTTTTCTGCCTTGCTGTTGTATTAAAAAACTAGTTTAAGGTGTCCTGCATATGTGATATATATTTTTTTCTTATATGAAGTTATTCTTTTTCAAACAAAACTCAAAACACAGCCTAATAAATCTTCAACTTCATGCCATGTTTTTCAGTCATTTCTACACCCCCCCAATCCCACATGCATGCTACCTTTTAGGGCTAAGCCCCAGGTGTATGCATGCATGACCTTCTTCGTATTTTACGTTGAAGGTCCGCGTCATGTGTCAGTTTTGCGTCTTCCCTGTCTCGTCATGTGTAATTGTCATCAGTCGTGTCTCCCAGCCGTTCCCTCTTTGCCCAGTTCACCTTTTGTATTTATTGCCTGTGCTTGCACCTGTTCGTTGTCGCGTTGCCCCTCATGCTGTGTGCATCTCCCTGTGTTCCCCTAGGTTTCAGAAGCTCAGTTTAGCCTGGTTCTGTTTTGTATCACTTCCTATCCCACAATGAAGCAGTGTTTAAGTTCATGTTCTGCTTGTTAGTCCTGCATTTTGGGTCCAATTCCTGCCTGCCACAAAGTTGTAACACAACAAGTTACTCGCGTAGCCTTGATTTGTTCACATGTAGCAAGGGATTCAGTTGTGTTACTTTTGGCTATTTGATAAACAGATTTCCTTTTAAGCTTGAGTCCTTTAAACTCCCAATAAATTGAGAAATTGTTCAAATATTTATCACTGTCACAGTCATTTTTCATTTATATTTGGAGGCTAAGACCTCTTTGTTATGCCACATTTTTCTTATGCAGGAAAAACACTGCAATTGTATGTCAGCAAGATGCTGCAAAACTGCCTAATTTCAAGATTTGGTGTAGAGACAAAGCACACACACAGAAAGTAAGATATAGAAGAAATTGTAATCTGATAGTGTTTCATGCTTTTTACAGCTCTCCAGGTGATTGGTGGAAACGTGAAAGTGGTTCAAGGAGGTACTGCTATCCTACTGTGCCATGTCACTGGTACCAATGATGACCTGACACAGATTACCTGGCAGAGGAGGACGAGAGAAAAACCTCACAATGACAATTTTCTCACTATCCTACCCCGAGAGGGAGTGCAGTTTGTCAATGGAGGTGATGATCGATTTAAATATATCGGGAATTTTAATGACAATAATGGAACTCTCCAGTTATCCAATGTTGCCCTGAAGGATGAAGGCAGATACACGTGCATCTTCACCTTGTTTCCCAGTGGAAATCAGAAGACAGAGATACCTCTGAATTTGCTTGGTATACTAAACGTTTTTTATCTTTAAAAAATTCTGTGTTCGTATGCGTGATAGAGACAGAGTTACTTTGATCATCCTGTATGCATGTTTATTTATTTGTGTGCTGTAACTCGCCTAGTGCCTCCTTTCACAAATGTGAAGGACAATCTTCCCACTTTGGGCACAGAAGAGGTTTTATTTGCTACCTGCACGGCTGCTGGATCGAAGCCTCCTGCAGAGGTGAGGTGGCTCACTGGTGCTTTGGGAGACAAAATGAGGACAACAACAAACTCCACTCAGTATGACAACGGTACGACTACCACAGTCAGCTCTCTGTTTGGTGTTCCTACGAGAGAGATTAACGATCACCAGGTCCAGTGCGTCATCAGTGGTGACTCCCTGTCTAAAGAAGAAACCCTGCCCTTCACCATACAGGTCTCCTGTGAGTATCAGCTGCTCATGGAGTTCCTATTTAGTGTTTATTTAAGAAGTTTAATTATTTGATCAAATATTAAAAAATGTATACAGAAATTAAATGACACAGCCTATCCTACAGAGTAGAATTTTAATAACCATGTGCATCTGTTTATCTGTTTCTGGCCTTCCAGTTCCATCATGATGCCATGCCACAACGTAAAAGAGGTTTCAAACTTTTTTGTCTATCTTAAAAATTCTGTCATTATTCACCCCCCAGTCACAAGATCCATGAAGCACACATGATCAGAGTACGAAGCAAAAACAATTCAGGCTAATTTAAAAGTGAAAGCATGCTCCTCCAGTACTGTTTTATTTTTTTTAGTGGCATGGTGAAGCTGTTTTTTGGTGGAAGTCCCCAAAATGACCACAGAATTTACTGAGCCTTTTTTTTTAGTCAGCAGTGATTATAAGTGAGCCAGTGATTGCATGAAAGGATCACTCCTTAAAACAAAGAAAGAAAAACAACCAAGATTCATGGTTCTGCCTGCCATGATAGGATTCAAAGGTATGTTCACTTTTATTTTGACAGTTTATGATTAACACACTTCTGTTTCTGTTTTTTGCAGTCGCCCCCACAGAAGTGAAGATTAGAGTGATTTCAGAGGACTCGTTTGAGTGTTTGACAGAAGCCAACCCAAACGCAAAATTTGCCTGGAGCAGGTAAAGCAGTTTGAATGATGGTTTCAGTTAATTTAAGTGATTTCATTGATTCTTTAGGTTTGTCTAAGTACACTGTGCTGAAAAAGCCCTGAGAGAGGGCAAGCTTTCGCTGGTATGACATCACCACTTAGGCTACGTTCACACTGCAGGTCTTAACGCTCAATTCCGATTTTTTGATCAAATCCGATGTTTTTGTCTGTTTGTTCACACTACAGATAAAATGTGACAGCAAGCGCGCTCTGGTGTGAACCCTCAAAGCGGCCCGCATGCACAAAAGAAGACGTCACACACAAAGCGCTTTGTTTAGACCCAGACCAAACAGTATTGTTTGCCTGATGGCCGTTAATATAAAGACTCGTTCTGCACTTTATGTTTCCCAATTTTGCTTTAAGTTGTAAAGTGATTTTGTTATGGCCTAATAATGATCCTTATGGCTGTTTCAGAGAGGAGCGGTGCTTCAAAGTATAGTAGCAGATTTCCGTCAGAATCTGCAGATTATACAGTACAAATAAAATGTTCACGTTTCTCCAACGTTGTCTTCGCAACAGTTTCACTAACGTCTACACTGGATGGCCAGGAAGCGTTCGTGATGTCTTCTCGGGTGCTTCTCCGGCGCTGATAATTGGCATCTGTCTTGTGTCAGTGACGTAAAAGATGGATTTAATGCGACATGACCATTCAAACAGCAGTCGCTTTCTAAAACATCAGATATGCATCAGATTCAGTACCACATACGAAAGTGACCCAGGTTGGGTTTGAAAATATCGGATTTGTGCTGTTCACACTGTCATACCATGATTGGATATGGGTCGCATAGGGTCAAAAAAGTTGGATTTGATGCGCAGGGTCCCCCCCATGCCCCCAACTCAGCATTCTTTCTCCTCCAAACACGACAGGTAGTTTTTACCAAAAAGTTCTATTTTGGTTTCATCTGACCATATGACATTCTCCCATTTTCTTCTGGATCATCCAAATGCTCTCTGGCAAAGTTCAGACGGGCCTGGGCACGTCTTGCACTGCAGGATTTGAGTCTCTGGCAGCGTAATGTGTTACTGATGTTACTTTGGTCCCAGCTCTCTGTAGGCCATTCACTATGTCCCCTGTGTGGTTCTGGGATTTTTGCTCACCGTTCTTGTGATCATTTTGACCCCATGGGGAGAGATCTTGCGTGGAGCCCCAGATCGAGTGATTATTAGTGGTTTTGTATGACTTCCGTTTTCTAAAAATTGCTCCCACAGTTGATTTCTTCACACCAAGCTGCTTAACTATTGCAGATTCAGTCTTCCCAGCCTGTTGTTTCTGGTGTCCTTTGACAGCTCTTGCGTCGTGGCCATAATAGAGTCTGGAGTATGACTGTTTGAGGTTGTGGACAGGTGTCTTTTATGTTATTTTCTGGATTTTCTTTTCTTGTTTAGTCTCTCATAGCTGAGGAATACCAATGATGAAAATTACAGGCCTCTCTCATCTTTTTAAGTGGGAGAACTTGCACAATTGGTGGCTAATTAAATAGTTTTTCACCCCACTGTAGATCATGTATTTTGGTTTAATTTCAAGAACATAGCAACATTTATGTGAGCAAGGAAAATGACTAACACAACTAACAAACTAATAGCTGAAATTCATTGGAATTTTAGCACAACTCACTTTTTTTTTGCGCTGTCGTGCATTTCACAATAAACCTCATTCATGTTTTTCCAGATCTGGCCAGTCTTTGCTGCAGTCTGCTGTCAAAGTAGATGGTGCAAAGCTACAACTGCTGAGTCGGACCTCTGATCTAAATGGCCTCTATCAGTGTGAAGCATCTAATGCATATGGAAGAAAACACAGTCAGCTGTATGTGCATGTGGCATCAGGTGAGGTCAGCTTGGATTTAGCTGTGCAGTTTGTCCAAATCTTTCTCAATTTGTTTCTGATTTCCAAACTTTTGTGCAGATTGTATCATTCTGAAGTTATTCTGTTCTATTTTTTTGTGGACCGCAATCAAAGGAAATAAATAGAAACTTGAACATTTACACTTGGAGTAAAATTATGGACTCTCCATATGAAGGGATAAACATACAAGTGAATGAATGAATGAATGAATGAATGATAGATAACTGATGCTCCAGTCATCCAGTACATTATATTATTCAAGTCAGTTCCAAAACCTAAAATTTAGAGCATGTCCTGACTTGTGATAGGTTCTGTTCATGGTTGTATCAAGTTTGTCCCATTTATTTTTGTGCCCTAGAACTTGTCAGAATGACACGTTTTTGAATGTGTACAGGTGCAGGTATTACATGGTGTTTGAATGCTGTCCAAGTCATCCAAATGTAAAATTGGAAAAGTCAAATATTCTTAATTCTTGTGTCCATGTAGGAGCATGCTCTGTGGCTTGGGCCTTATTTGGTGTTTTGGTTTTCCTGAATGTCACTGGGGCTGCAGCATGGTGCTTTTATAAACATGGATTTCTGATAAGGTACTTCTAACATTTACCTGCTTGTCTGTATGTTGGAAAATATAAAGTTTATCTCATTTTAAAGCATATGTGCTTTAAAGGGTGCTGATAAAAATTTATTTTTTATTTCTTCATAAATGAAAGAAGTAAAACATATAGCAGGGATCCAAGTGTAGTGTTTGCAATTTGTGAGTGTTAACCTAAAACATGTGGTCAAATGAGTTCTCAGTGCAAGTTAAACAGGTCGTACATATGCTGTAAAAAAAAAAGGAAAGAAAGCACATATATTACCTACTTAACCCTTCTCTGGAGTATGGACCTTTGATGAGGATCCTCAGAAATGCTCAGTCTTGAGCCATTTTCTCAATCTGATGGCAAATGTATTCTTTTTGAGATCTCTTCATATATTCTTGGCCTTCTTCTTTGTCTCTTCCCCTCTGAGTTTCAGAGCTTGTCTGGTGAGGTTGTTGCCTGGTTTCCTCAGTGCATATCCTGTCCATTTCCATTATCTTCTTTATATATTTTCCTCTGAATGTACTCGCCTTGCGTTTTTCCAACAGGTTATGACTGTGGATCTTGTTTGGCCAGTAAATCTTCAAGATTTCCTTGGGAAGCTGTTGATGAAGGCAAAAATGAAAAAGAATACGATCAACAAGGTGTAAAGATAATATCTAACAAAGTTCAACAGTAGATCAACAAAATAAGCGGAAATTCCCATATGCACACTCTGTTAAAAGCACTAAAAGTCCACTTGAAAATGACACGAGCAGTCAGCATCTCAACACTTGAAAATGTTGAGATGTACTGACAGTGTTTCCTCTGATGTTAGAACAGTTTCTCACATGTATTTTCTCATGTGCATCTTTGGGTTTTGTTTGGTTGTTTGTTGGTTTTTTAACCACAAATAATGACAGGGAGCATGTCCTACTGTTTTCTTAGGAGACCAGAAAACACGCCAGATAATGACAACACGCCAGAGAGTGAGCATGTTCCACTGAGACCTAGCAGTGCAGTAGATGATCCCGGGCCACATGATGTTCCACCATCTTCCAGAAGTGCACATGATGATGATGGACTATCTAAGAGAACAGATGATGATCATGGACAAGAAGATGACAGAAGACATGGATCACTGTCGACTAGCAGTGCTGGAGGTGATCAAGGACCACATAATGTCTCACCCTCCCCCAGGAGAGCAGTGTGATCATAATAATAATAATAATGGATTGGATTTTTAGCGCTTTTCAAGGCACCCAGAGCGCTTTACAATTCACAGTCACTCTCACATTCACACACTGGTGGAGGCAGTTGTAGCCACAGCTGCCCTGGGACTGACAGAAGCGAGCCTGCCATATCGTGCCATCGGCCCCTCTGGCCAACACCAGTAGGGTAAAGTGTCTTGCCCAAGGACATAATGACCAGGACAGAGAGCCCGGGGATCGAACCGGCAACCTTCCGGTTACAGATGTGCTTCCCAGCCCCCAGCGCCACGGTCGCTGGGGGGTTGGACTACATGATGACAGACAGCATGTCCCACTATCTCCCAGGAGTGCACATGATGATCACGGGCCATCTAGGAGAACAGAAGATGATGGAAGGCATTGTTGCCTTACAGTGCTGTGTAATTACTGCTTTAAACAGTTTTTTTTATTTTATAAAGAGATATGATTAAATAGGAGTAAAGAGAGTGAGTAAATAAGTCAAACGAGCTGCCATCATGCAGCTTTTACAAAGTGTGGGTAAGCTGCCAGTCACAGGTGGACTATTTAAAGCACTCACGGATGTTGCACAAGGCACAGAGATAAATTGAGAAACAACTTGAGTGGTTTTACTTCACTGTCATGGAAATTGTTTCATCATTACAGTAAAGACAGAAACAGAATGTAACTAATCTGACTGACTGACTGATCAGATTACTTCTGCAAAACTTATGCTGCCTCTAGTTTTTGTTGCCACTGTCCAAAATGTGATAAGAGTGCACAGCTCAAAGAAATTGGGGAACACTTGTTGTCAGATTATAACACAAAATCTGTGAAACTTCAGGGATATGAGATGAAAGTGGCAACAGGTGTGTTGGACATACAACAATAACACAACGCCTTAAACAGGAATAGGTATTAAACTGCACGGTGGCTTGTGAGCACAAATCTCACTAAATGATTTGTGCTCACAACATGCCACTATCATGCAGTCTGAGTCTGACAGTTTGGTCAGAAATATGCACATATATTCTCCACATTCTTGAGACTGTGCTCAGAGACACAGCAAGCTTTCTTGCAAGAGCATGTGTGGATTTGCCATCCTGGAGTAGCTGGATTATCTGTGTGACCTGAAAGGCTTGCAGCTACCATCTCATGCTACCAGCAAAACTAGAGAACGGTAAGGAGAGAAAAACATTTTGTGGAAATCCCCTCGTATAACCATTCATCTTCCTGGGGATTGCCTAGAACTAGAAACAGAAAGAATATCTAACTCTGCTCTTTTTGGTTTCATTTTACAGAAGAAAAATAAATGTTGTGACTCAAACAATGGGAATCGATAGATCTGGGTACCATTGATGGACATTAGATCAACTGCAAAAGTGGATGCAGTTCCTCGCTCCAATCCAAACCCAAACAACCATTGTCTTCATGCGGCCTCTCCTCACGAGCTGGAAGCTCCAAGACTGAAGATGGAACAACAAATCTCAGATTACAAGACTGTGTTGACTCTCTGCCTTATCCTCCTACTTCTTCGAGATCACTTGTGTCAGCTAGGGGATTGTTGACTTCTGTTTAAAACAGGGTGTAAGGACACTCTGTCTCTCAAGTTGGACACAGGATACACATGTACACAGACACAGACATACAATCACCCTTTTTCTGTTGTCTAACTGCTCTCCTAAGCTCAGTCTGAGTAAAGTTCTTTTTTCTCCTCTTGTCCCCGGATGTTGTGAATTTCATTGTTTTCTAACCATGCGATTTCTCTCTGACCTGTCTTCCCAATGTGATATTTGTGCAATGTTTGTATGGTTGAAATGGGTCCAATGGGTTTTTTGGTATCATTATAATGAATCTTAATTCACACCTATGGGCAATTTAGTGCTACTAATTGAACTGCAATGCACTACTATGAAGATCCATGACTGAATGTTTCCTGTCATAGGATTGCAGTGTTTTCTCTTTCAGAGTTTGTTTTTTACATTTCTTTCCGAATGAAAAGGAATATTAAAAATTATTATTTCATATGAAATCAAATTCCACGTCAGTGTCAGTGATCAAACAGTGGCACACTCTAGATGAGAAACTGCTTTTAGTGACTTGTACATGGTTATTTTTATTTCTTAAGCATCCGCCACACACATAACAGATAACTGATAAACTTTTCTGTGTTCTACTC